TATACAATGACCAAAAACTAGTCGTTACAACTTTGGGTAACATTTATATACCATATATCTCGATGGTGCTATGACGCACTATTAAAAGTGTTGCAAAAAACTTTGCATTTTCTGCACAGATTCAGATTGATTATCAGATTGAGTAGAATGTTGAATTTCACCGAAGTGAATTTCAGTTGTTACTATCTCTCATTTGCAAGTATATATAAAAAATGAAATGAATATAGTATATAAATACTATTTGTATTCTTTGTGTACCCAAGATAGACTGGAATCTATTCGATTCCAAACATTTAGTTCGTTAACCATGTCAATGATTTTAATATTCCAACCTACTATTGTAACTTTTCAAGGTTAGATTTCGTAGCACCTCTACATTTAGGAGAGTTTAAGATCTGTTGATAAAAATTAATTATTAAATTTTTGTATTAATTTGTAATACGTTTACTTTATGTCAACTGTAAAGTTTGGTAAAAAATAAAGCACAAAACTTTTGCTGTAATAAAGTATTAAAATTTTAAGTGAATTAAGATGTCATAAATTTCTACACCAAATCTTTGTTCCTCCCTACAAATACTAAACTTAAAAGTACTTTACCACAAAATGAAGTGAAGCAGTGCTCTCAACTTAAGCTGCATTAATGTTGCACAGCAAATTTGTCACAAGAGCAGCCACAAATTGTAAAAATGCTTTCAAGCCCACAAGTCGATGATGTACGAGTAGTTGGAAAACAGTTTACATATGAGGTCTCTATGTGTGCCGAGCAATGGTGTGACTTGGTGGATGCACACGGTGTTATGGAAAGTGCTGTGGAAAGGAAAGTAAGTTTCAAAGTTTCTTGCAGAGCGAAGGCAAATGCAAAAAAACGCAATACCAACGGACTTTGGCATTTGGACTCGTGTTGATGGGCTTTGTACGCCTTAAGGTATGCAGTAAATTAAAACATTCCAAGTGTGTGTGCACAAGTGCACTAGAGCTAAAGACCACCGCTTTTGTACGTAGGCGTTCGACTGTGTGTTCATATATGCAATTGGTTGCACAATTTTTATTACACATATGCTACATATGCTTGCCAGGAATATGCAGAGGATAGTGCAAAACTGTGACATTTGTGAGATACTGAGATATAGTCAAAAATGTATTATTGTCAGAAGTTGTTCTTTTTTAAAGTAGTAACAGGAAATACTACCTATAAAAACTAATTACCATGAAATAATATTAAGTAGAACTTAAGAAATAGTTTTGGGAGCTTTGATTTACAATATGCTTAAACTCTATGGTAATTTATAAGATACTTAAATATATATTTAGTTTAATTGTTTATTACTCTAATTATAATAGGTATTTGTGACAAATGTATAAATGATTTATAAATCGAAATAAATAATTCAAAATAATTTTTTCTATAGGTTAAGTGACTAAGCCGTTTTTTAGAGTGCATGGACGAACCTATAGCTGATTAGAGATGGTTGTCATTTCATGCCTTGCCTTTTACGAATTTTTTAACTGTTGCAACCTTTTCGTGTCTGTGAAGATTTGCATTACTGATGTACCACGGAACATTCAGTATTAATTTAGATATCTTGGAAAAATTATAAACACATATCAATTTTAAATATTTAGTAATTATATTTTTCATTAGTTTTTGGGATAAAGCTTTCAAAATAGTAAAAATTATAAAAATTTCTGACGCAGTATTTCTATTAATATGAGTTTTATATATATATTTTATTTACTTTGAGTTTAGTTTTGTATTTTTTTTACATAGTTGTTTTCTAATATGTCAGGAATTTTGATCAATTCTTTCGCAGTTTATATCTCGCCTAAAGTAGTTCACAAATGTATAGAATTTATAACTGTACTAGAAAATAGTTCAAAAATACCTCTAGTTTGATAACTGGATATTCTAATATAGCACGGAAAAAGTGCGTGGATAAGCTAGAGAGACTTAGGGCCTCTTCTATATAATCTTCTGTTTTTATGCCTGACAGCTGAAAGTTGATACATGTCTAGTTTTTGCGACAGGCAAATAGGAATTGGGTTAATATTTTTTGCCTTCTACTCCAAATGTAGAATCTTTGACTTAGTACGTAGTACGTGGAAGTAATTTGAATGGATTTAAGATATTATCTTTTCTAAAGGGACACTTGAATATAGGTTGGCATAGAAACAGGCATGGCTTGCCCTTTCAAATCTGTTGTAGCAGATATTTACAGGCACTCGAGAAGGAGTCTGAAGGCTTCAGTGCTTTGACGTTCCATTATTTATAATGGACTGCTTGGCTTTAATACACAATTTAACTTAACACTTATATTTATGAGGAATGTGAAATCAACATGGCTTTGTCAGATAATGGGGAGGATTCGATTCTCGTTTCACTGAATCTGCAATATAATTTGCTCTGCAACTGTTCTACGGCAGTAATTATTTCTTCATTTGACGAAAAACGCTTTGCACACTGCAGGTTCCTCAGAGAAATTTGTTTTTGATTCAATTTTCGAATGCTGTACTAACTTTCCAAATACATTCTTCATAAGTAATTCTTCTTTTAAAATATAAACTACTTGTTTGTTCGAAATGTCTATGGTATTAGCATAATTTGCACAATATTATGTATATACATAATAGGTATGCTTGACACACCGAGTCCAGCGATCTTTTAACATTTATATATCTTTTAAATAATACGATTTAAGTCTTCGAAAATTAATATTAGTTTCCAATTCCATTTCATCATTTGATGCAAATCTCTTTCCATGGAGTCATTTTCTTAAATTTGGAAACAGATAATAGCCACTGGGAGTCAAATCTGTAGAATACGGTGGGTGAAAAAGTAATTCGTATTGTAACTCATTTAATTTTGCTATGGTTTCTTCGACAAATATGGTCGTTTATTCTTGATTTTGTCATTCAGTCGATCCAATTATATGCAAGAGTAGTCTGATGTTATTGTTTTCCCTTTTTTCAAAATACAGAAGTTAAAATTTTTCCAATCGATTGTTGAGTTCATGGTCGTTTATGAGCATTCTGCCCGGACTCTACTCATTCTCTTCACCCATTTTCTGGCCTGCTATTTTTCCTCAGTAATGGATACATGTTTCATCAATTGTCACTACTCGACGCTCACAGTCAGTTAAATTGTGTATAAACAATTCTAAACAATGTTTTGAAAATCAAAGTCTTTGTGAACTGTGAGCAAACGCGTCATTCATCTTGTAAAAAGCTTTTTCATACCCAAATATTCATGGAAAACATTCGATACACGTTAATGTGATATTATGTCATCTTTGCGATCTCACGCAATTTAATTTTTGGATCATCCAATACAATATCGTGGACAATATAAGTTTTTTTTTTAGTTGTGACCTGTTTTGGACGACCTGGACATTCTTCATCAAAGCCACTCATATGAGCACGTTTTAATTCAGCTTTCAAATATTTTATTGTTATTAACGATGGTCCAAGGTTGTCGTAAACAGAATCCAGTTCCAATAAGATTGCGTCATTGCTCATTCTTTTCAAATGGAGGAATTTTATTACTGAACGATATAATATCTGATCTGATGATCTGATGAACATCTGATGAAATCGAAACTAGTACAGCTGTCGTTTAAAAATTATCTGATATACAATATACAATTAATTTTGTTCTGGCGTTGCCACCTGTTCTGAAATCAGGTAATTATCAATCCACCTAGTATTAATTAACCTCCTAATTTTTATTACTAGATTTTAATATTTACATAATTATTATTATTACTGCTGTGCGAAATAGTGACGGCCGCGAGTAATGCTTGTAGTAGACCTTCTGTTGAAATCTTTAGCCACGCGTTTGTACGTTAGCCATGTCTGTGTACATATTATATGTAAAAAGGACATCCACCGCAATCAGCATAATTTTTGCATATGAATAGCAAACGACGAAGAAAGGATGTTAATGGCAAGTGTAAACCACAGAAGGTGTAAATGAGCAAAGGACGATGTGCACTGCTAACGATATCCTTTTTCTGTTGACATTATGTTTGTTTAAATTTTTTTTATATACGAATATGTATATACTTGTATATTTTTGTAATTTTTTTTTGTTGTTGTTTAGTTGATGTGTATATGGGAAAGTTTGTTTTATGAGTGCATAAAACTAAATTTAACGTCACTTTGAATTATGACAACAAAAGCGAAACATGAGAAAGATATAGATGCAGCAAAGAGTTGCATTGCTGAATGGGACGGGGATGTGTTCATATCTATGTATGGAAGACAGTATTACCCATGTGATCACCGTTGGATGGGTACGTAAAGCAGATTTAAGAAGCATGCAAATTTATGTACTTATAAGCAGGTTACAAAGAGAAAATAAGTGATGAGGAAGAAAGAATGAAGTGTCATACTTGTCACGTGACACAAAATGGAACATTTGAAAGCGGTTGGTAGCAGTTTTGTTGTAATATGACAGGAATAAGTCACAAAGTGGAAAATTATGGAAACAATATTATGAGTTTTGACAAGCAAAACGATACCAATGTTATAATATAAATTACTATTAGCTTTCATAAGGAATTTATAAGACTAGTCTTATATTTTTTATAATTTAAAAATTTTATTGGATTTGACTATTATTATACATAAATGCTTAAATTTTGGAAATGCTCTTTTGTAAATTAAAGCATGAAAATAAACATTTTTTGTTAATTATTTGGTTTTATACTTAAGATAAATGTTAACTTATGATTTATTTAGACGGTTGAACTGAACTGAAAATTTAAAATGAAGATTGAGGCATTGTGCTTATAAAGTCTTAACGGATATATCAAATGCAGACAGTCAGAGATCAATATTATTTATATAATACTGTATTTTTCGTCATTTTTAGAAATAATTTTTAAAACATAACAATTTGTACGAATTTATAATAGTAGCTATTGAGTTTTTGTTTTTTTTTTTTTGTTAAATTAATAATATAAACATTTATCATTAAGTTATAATGTATAAAATATAACAAATATATTTTAAGTTTTGCGTTATAATTTTATTTTCATTTATTTTAATTGCAAAATAATTTGAAGTCATTAGGAAGGCTGCTTTATCGTGCAGAAATCAAAATGCCAAAATCAAAACGCAAGCATGGCAAGCCTACCAGTGAATTGGCACAAGCTATCCGAGCTTTATCACTCCATGAAGAAAACTCTAGTACTTCTAGTTTATTGGATGCTGTATTCTCAGATACGGAATTCATTGCATCAGAAGATAGGCCCGTTGAGGGTCCCTTTGATTTATTTACCATGCTTACAGCTGAGAAACCATTATATACTATGGACGACTTAGAGAAAGATCCAGATGAAATTTCAACTGGTAGTTTATCTTATCGAGCCTTCGAGGAGCTGAAAAATGAATTTGAAGAATTGCCAGATTTTTTTGATTTGCTCCAGGAACCAGCAACTCCCAGCGATATGAGTTTAGCAGATAGAACTACATCATTACGTTGGAGTAGTACTCGTCAAAAAAGTCGAGCGTCAATAGAAGGGCAATTTTATGATCCTTTAACCGGAGATAAACTGTCGTCTATGGAAGAAGAAGAAACTGAAAAAACTGAAGAACGTGAAGACAAAACTGACATTATTGATTCGGACGAAGAGGAAAAAGTAGATCTCAGTATAATAATGCCAGAATTGATTGTAGAAAAAGTGATAAAAAGAGATAGTAGTGATGTAGAGGATGATGCTAGAATATTTTTTGAAGTACCAGAACATAAACCGACAATTCATTATGATTTTGAATTACTTGCACAAGAGGAGTTTATGCGTATATTAAATAAAGATATACATAACATAATCATTAAAATCATAACACATGTTGTAAACAAATGTGAACATTTCGAAGTTAAGGAAGTACTTTACCGTGCGTTTGATAAAAGTAAATTACTTGATCAATTAAAAGAAACTCAAGATCATTTATTAAAAGAGAAACAAGTTAATCAGTTCCTTATTCGCAAGTGTGGTCATTATTTTAGAAGAAAGGGGGCTAAGCGATTTATTATGGAGAATCGAAAATTACATCGCAATGAACAGCAAAAACTATTGAATTTATACGATAATTTAAATTGTGTGATAATAGAAGAGCGTACGATGACTGAACTATTGGGGAATAAGATAGCTGAAGAACAAAGCCATGCTGACGCCTTATGGGAAGAAATAAGTAATGCTCAAAATGAGTTTGAAGATTTTGTAAGAACAACATTGGGGACAAACAGATCTGCATCTTTGAAGGAAGTATGTTTAATATATTGTATAAAACATACGTTTTTCGAAAGATATGTTTATTTTAGAATTTAAAGTATTTAAAATCAATATATTAGCCTGTAGTAAAATTTTTATACAGAAGTTTACAACACTAGTGAATTGTAATATATATGGTATATATTTGTTTATTATATGGTAATTATTATTAATTAATTGAATTTTTGGTTGACTATAGAGTCAACCAAAAATTATCGAGTATTGTCAAATTCACATTATAAGTAATTTTGGAATTATTTCTTATGTTTAATTATTCATAAATAATTTTTTGAGACAGCAAGTGCTAAGTGTTAAATTTGTGCCCTGCCAAATTTGAAGCTCAGAGTCAGCGTTCATTAACCTAAAGACATACTTGACTTGTATGTTAGCATTTTGTTTTTGGAGTGGTGTTAACTTGCTATAAAAGTTTATTAACAAATTCACTTGCTATTACACAGCAACGAAATCATAAATCAGCTGTAGAAGAATTGTATTCATTAATTATTTTTATTTAGTAAATATAAAAGTTTCTATCAAGTAAAATAGCCACTACCGTCACAACTGAAATTACAATGAAATTTAATCTAAATTTTTTATTAAATAGATGATTGAACATCACTTAAACTATTTTAATGCTGTACGAAAAGATATGAGAGCAGTACGCTTGCGTTTGATACTACAACAACATTCCAGAACGAAAATATTTGAGGTAAGTGTTACAAGTGGAACATTTATTAAGTTAAAGATATGTATATTTTCTTAATTGAAATTTTCAATGTAAAAAAATTTGTTATTTGAAAGATAAATTATGGACATTAATACCACTTAGATCTTTGCAATTGTTTATAATTGCTAATTATCATAAATAAGATTCACAAAGGCCATGTTATGCAAGTAGTCATGGTCACATCAAATGTGAAATTGTTGTTGTTTTTAATATATATTAAAAATATAAATATATGAGAAAATAAGAAAAATTTCAATTTTCAGCCGCTTCACGTTGACGAAAACAGTGTTGGTAAATAATAAATGTTAGATATTGCGCGTACTAAGAACAAATATATGCACTGATATAGCCTTGCATGATATTATAATAGTATAAAGTAAAGAAATTAATAATTACGAAATGATTCTCTGTGTAACATATTGTTTATTTAAGACTAAAAATATCGTAAATTTTCTATTACTATTCGTCATGTGACTGTCTGTATTATATAGCCTTAGGATTTTACAATTGTGTGCTTTCACCTATAAATGTTACTTCGTTGGTTGTTTGGTTAAAATGGTTATTCAAATTGTGAGTCCGATTAGCGATTCTACACCGTTTAAATCCAGTACGTGTAGTTTTGAAACTTCTGGAGTTTCTATTTTTTCGCTGATATCAATTTTCTCTAGCTATTTCAATTAGCTTAATGAGTGTCATAAAGAATGTTTCTTATGTATATTTTTAAACTTGATTTTAAAGTTGGCAACAATGCATTTAGTGGTAACCGTAGTGTTAATCAGCGGTTATTAATGTTCCGTATATTTAGTCATTTAAGTATTGAGTACTTTCAATGTGTTAAATTTAAACGGTAAGGCACAGAAATAGTGATTAGTTGTGACATAGAAATGAAGATATGCAAAGTAACTGCTAAATGTTTATATTCTTTTACGAATATGTTGAAAATCAAAATTTAATTGAGTTTCAACCTGTCATATTAGTTAGAACCTAACTCCTGGCATCACCTGCACATATTTTTTCAATAACAATGATTTTGAAACAAAAATGAAGTATCTTTGCCATTTTATTCTGAAATAAAATTTCCGACATGCATTTCGTTTAATTCTGAATACATATATATAAGGTATGTAAATAAAACTTCTTAGAAATGAGTAGTCAACCATACCCAGTATTTTCTTAATTTGACGCAGCGAGAATTTGCATTTGGAAATGGAAGAGAATCGTTTTGTTTATATAGAAGTACATCCTGACACTTGTTTGAAATTATTTTTGAGTTTATATTGAGTCAGAAAGGATTGTTTTAAACAAAATAAATTGATGTTATAAAAAAAAAAGTACGTGTTCTTATATATGAATTCTGTTTGCTTGGGAACTGTGTGTATAGGTATATATATTAGTGACTTGAGCCTGACACTCATTTGACATGTTTTTACACTGTGATGCCTTGAGTTATATATGACTGTTTTGAATAAATTATATCAGATTTCGAAATAAATGTATAGTTGTTTTCTTACCAAAAAAAAACCTGATCCTATAAAAAATTTTACATGCTTGGTAACCTTGATTGCATATTAGTGACATATGAGGAGTTGAGTTATCACAATCATTAAAAGTTTATAATATTACAATAAATTTCACAGTAGCTTTTAATGATATGGTAGTAAGCTCTCAAAAATATTGAATAATAATAAATTAAATGTGGAATAGATGTACATAATTCCACTTTCATATTATATATTAAATACTTGATTTTAACTTATCACTAGGAATATGAAGACATGTATCATATAACAGATGATTTACGATTAGAACATTTTGATCGAATTAACGCAGAAGTGCAAAGTCTTGATAAACATATTGAAGGTATTTTGTATATATATATATAAATATATATATAATTAAAAACCATTTTTTTTGTCATATATGTATGGGTAATTACTGTAAATGGAATACACTCTTATTTCAGGAAGTAAAGCTGAGCTCAGAAAATTGCACATCGAATTTAAGCATGCCTTGCATTCTATTGCACATTGTCGAGAGAAACAGTTGGTTATGCAGGAAAGTTTCAAGGAGGAGCAAGTAGAATATGACAATCTTGTTGAAGAACAGGATGATTTAAAGTCGCAAGTAAAAAATTTAGAATTAGTGCAAATGTCATTAAGAAATGAGTTGGATGAACTGAGCTATGAGACTGGAATTATAGATAAACCTGCGCTTTTATATGATTATGATAGTTTAACTGAATTTAATGAGACTCAAACAGCTGTTAATGCACGCCTTCGTGAAAAAATTGCTTATTTAAGTAACGAATGTGATAGATTAGAGAAAAATAGAAAAAGAGATTCCCTAATATTTTAGATACTAAAGTAATATAAAAATTTTTTGTAATAATGCCTTTAGATATATATGTTTATACTGACTTTTTACAATAAATGCAAACGATTAAATATAAAATTGAATCATATAATTTTAATTTATTTATTAGCTGTGCTATAATATGATGTGCTATAAGGTAAGGAAGTAAAATGGAACCAATGTAAATGATTCTAGTTGAAGGCTTTATTGATTTCTTTATATTTTTAATGACGTGAAAAACGTGAAATATTGGCATTACTTTTTGGAATAATATACCTATCAGTATATCAGAGTTGAAAATTGCGGTTGCTAATGTTACATAGAACAAAGACATCAAATGCCAGGGGAAAACTTGTCAATAATACTTTTCTTCAAAGAAGAAGCATTCTCTAAAGTTTTTCGAAAAATAATTTTAAGACACGTCTCTGAATAAAGATTATTGTTTTTGTTAGTTTATTGCGATCTAAATAAGAATAGTGTAAATTTGAGGTTAGGTTAGGTTATGCGGGCGATCCAAAGGGTATCGGTCCATTGTGCTACCGTATAATAGAAAACTCGGAGTGTAGAACTACCTGTAACCTTTTGCGAAGCTTAAAATGCTGTTTATTGGGAGGCCTTGAAGTTGATCAAAATCCTCAAAATGCTGAGTCGCCGCCGTGCCGTTGAACCTTTATAGATGATTCGTTGTTTTTTTTTGTTTTTCCCTGCTCGAGCCGAGGAGTATATTTAATTTAAAAAGTGCCATTGTGTTCTCGTAGCGAACCGTAATTTTTTATCAAACTTTACGTTGATGTTTTTTATTTCACAAAATTTGAGTATTGAAACTTCACCTTAATTTAATATATACTGAAGAAATAATCAAATTTTAGCGTTTTCCCTTAATTGAGCTTATAAAATATATTCCTTTTTTATTAAGCACATTTTAGATTAAACGTTTTAATGCGTGAAATGAAACCATTTGAAAGTATATTTCAACTCATTTTTTATTACTAGTTGTCATAGTAAAACTAATCTATTAAATTTTAATAATTATTAGATAAGAAAAATAATAAAGAAAAAATTTTGAAAGTTTTAATTGTGTTTGTAAATTTTTTGTGGAGTAAAATTTTAAAAGCGAAGAAGTTTCTGACATGTATCTTAAAGGCGGCTGTCTTATTTAAAGGTAAGATTTTGACTCTCATTTAAAAACTTCAAAACTTGTTAATATAATTAAAGTTCGAATAGTAAATTGTATTCATAGTCCTAAATGTAATTGAATAAATCGAGTTTTTCTTCAAATTTAATCTTCTGTAGTCATTGAACTCGCGAATTATGTTGTTGAAGTGTTTCCGTAGATCTCTAAATTAAAGCGGTGCTCTTAAGCTATTGTATGTAGTACCATGTTTAGGCGCAGTTGTCTGCTGCAGCCTTAAAGGGTTCTCTAAAAGTTGACATCAAAGTTGATTGTGTGTTTCAATTGTTCTTTTCACTGTGTGTTTTGATATGTGAACTCTGTTCATCTGGCATTGCAGTCAATTTGTATCAAGATTTTTGGAAAGACCAATATATAGTATTATTGTATATTGTGAATTAAGAATATATATTGTCCATTTTGTTTTATTTAAATATGAAACATTTTAGAGGGGTTCCAACAGTAATGAAGAAACAAAACAACAACAAAAATTTTATAATGTTAATTATTTTTGCTGAAAATTAAGCTTCTTATGATGACAAAGAAGCTATTTTAAAAGTTGGAATGGTTCGAACAGAAATGAAGAAACAATAATAAAAATTTTAGTTAATTTATTGAAATTTGAGTAACCATACGATGTTGTTTCGAGTATTGTTAAGAACGTATCATCAGTGGTCTTAGAAAATATTCGAATTTTTATTTAATTATAGTCCGTATATAATTACAATATGACTTCAAATGCTAGGCGTAGAACTCGTGCCTGTCAAATTAGAAACGATGACTAATAGTGTTTTTTTAACAAATATCCAAGGCAGCACAAAAATTTTAATTAGCTGACATATATTTTATCTTAAAACTTGCAAATTATATGAGTATCTAAGTAATGCATTCTGACATCGGGCAGAGAATCGCGGCAGAGTCCTCGTAAAACGTCGTTTTGAAGTTATTTTGGAGTTATTATTAATTTTTATTATTTTTAATTTATTTCCTTAAGAAAATTCATTATTAAAACATTAATAATTTCTTATTAAAGTTGCAAGTGCTTATAAGTAATAATTTTTTTTTATACTTCTCATATCCTTACAAATAAATTAGCCAAAAATGTACGTGCAATTTTAAGCGCCTCTATGGTGATTGTGATATATTGTTGCAATACCTTGGGGTCGTTCTTACTTCTAACAATTAAGTGCGGAAATAACGGAAGTGCAATGTTAACAATGAGGTATGCCAATTTGCAGCTGAAGTGTCCTTGCCAAAAGTGGGTACATTTACTTGCTAATTATGCGTCGTTTATATTAACAAATCCAGGTTTCTTACCTAACATTCGTGCTCGCACACTTCGTTTGTACTTGCATTATTTATGGACTTCACTTCGCGGCAAATCTTTCAGGTTTGGAGTGCGTCCTTGTGGGTATTTCACTTTGTGTGTACGTGTGTTGGTGTACAAAACCAACGTAATGCTGCCCGTGAGCCTAATTAGCCTAGAGCAAAACGCGCGCCTTTTGTGTATTATTTGCAAACTCAGTGGCTTTGTAACGGCAAAACCACTTCCGGTGCACGTTTGCGGGCGACGCCATATTTCATGCGATTATATGCAAATGGTGTATACCTCGAATAGATTTAAATGCAAAAATACAGGAAAAAATAATGTTAATGCAAGTATGTGTTAAAATATACACTAAAGAATAGAGACATTTTTTTTACGTGTAGTTCACGTATTTAAATGTCACAGATGGATACTGTCTTTTTCAAGACTTAAAAATTTGATATATTGTATATAAATACAATATAAATAAATCTACGCTATGTAGATTATATACATAAGATATATATAAATATAAAATCTTTGAGAGTTAACAAATTCTTAAAAATTTTCATCAAATAATTTCATATAAGATTTCATCAAGACAACATATTTTCTGATAAAATTATTTAATTTCTTATACTAAGTCCAATAACATCTATTATGTCACTCACAGAGAATGGCTTTGATGTAGTTTAAAGAGGTCAAACTTTTGTCTCAAGTCTACAATTATTTAATAAACTTTACATATTTAATCTATTAATTAAATTATTAAGACTTTCAATTCTACTTTATTTATTTTTTATGTCCCAAAAGTCAACTTCATTAAACTTTTGTTTAAGTTTATACATACTATGAAAACCTTTAGTGCCTTTGCGACTAAGGATTTTGTAAGGTGTATTTATGTTTTTATTAATACAAATTTGAATGTACCAATACATTCATATTGTGTGCATGATAAAGAGGTTGTACACCTAAAGGGATTAAAGGGAAGTAAAATACATTATTATATTTTAATATAATTACACTCCATTACCTCCAAGTTCATAACTTCAGAGTTCTGTTAGAACTCAGCAAACCGAATATTCGTCACTCTAGAAATTATTATAAATCTATGCCATAAATATTTGTACAACATATCTATTATCAGAAAACAATACAGAAGAGAATAATCCTTCTGTCATATAATTAGGCATTACACAACGCTTGAGGTGCAATTTCGATAAACTCTCTACTGGTTTCGGAGATGGTGAATGTCCTGCAAAATCTGGCAGCTAGGAATCAAGTGATACTAGAGTTTAGTTTGTGATGACATTAGTGAGATAAAGATGAGAGAAACGTAAAGATAGAGTGAAAACTATTAGAAGGATAGGACAGAAATGAAATGCTTAAAAAAGTAAACCCTTATTATTAAAAATATAGACTTTGCAAAGGTCTATACTATTACCAATTTATGACATGTTTCATTTCTATGTAAGATCGGTATCAGTCAATTAAGTACCTAGTGTCTAATTTTCTGCATTTGTTGTTTCAAACGTAGTTTGTTTTAGTGTTTGTGTTAACATAATGTATATGTATAATATAGTGCTTTACATATTACTTTAAAGGGTTTAAAAAATTTTAAAGGGTTTGAAATTTCAATGTTCGGGTACGTATGTACTTAACCATATCGAGCATATCGATTTACTGGATTATATTCAAACATCATATGTACCTTGAGAATTTCCTATGTGTATTTGTTTAAAACAAAACAAAATTAAAAAAAACGGGACCACATGAATTTTAGATATTTAAATTGCCAAAAAAGAACAATTCAATGAGACATGAATCAGATTTACTATTCCAGTAGATCGAATATTTTTGAGTATTTTGATTATTTTCAAATATTTCAAGTCTTTTATCCAAATGTTCGAATTCGACTAACCTAAAACTTAGAAAATTGGATGACGAAGTTGCATTAAGGTAACAATGTGATTCGAAGCTAAATTTTGAAGTTAGTAGAAATCGCTTAAGTTTAATCAAATCCAAAAAAAAAAACAACCATATCAAAATATGCACAAAGTGCAGTTTTAATAATCACCGAGTGTACATAATGTATAGAAGATGCAGAAACATCCCTACATATTCTTGGGAAATATCTTAAACAATATCTGCTCTTAAACAGTATAGGTAAGAATATAAGATGAGCTGTTGTGTTTGAATTCCATAAATAAAATGGAAATTTTATTTTTGTTAGGTTCAGTGGGTCCACCATATATAGTTTTTTTGTTGTTGTTGTCCATGATTTCGTTTGTTTAAAGGTAAAAAAACACGTGTGTCGTTACTTAATTAACAGCCATCGTATTGATTTTGTATTTTTAATTTCAGATTTAATAACTTCAGAAGTTAGTTTTTGATTTAAAGATAGGCGATAGAACGCCTCTTGATATGAAAATTAAAGTATTTATAATTCAAAACAAATCGTTATGTACTAAATCTTAGTTTAAACATCGACAATTTTCTTTGTTTTTTGTTTAATTGCAGCAAACATCCTGAGGGGAATCTGATAGACTACAAAAGTGCATTATTTCTCGGAGAACAATAGTTTTGTTTGGAAGCACATTTTAAATGAATGTTGCATGCTTCAATTCCTATCAATCGGGATTGTAATGCTGCAAACGCTTTTAAAAAGCTTTTACGATTCAAAGGTGTATTATAGCATAGATATCACAAAAAAATTAATAAAAAAACGTTATAAGTAAAATGGAAAAAAAAAATTATTATTAACTGTGGAATGCTACATATACACTGTTGAGGAGTCATTGTTCTGTTAATGCATTTTTGTAACCAATTTGGATATTTGTATTAACATTTTATATACATATTATACATACATGATATATATTATATATATATTTTTTTGCAATCATTAACAAATCATTTTTTCAACTTCTTTGAAAAATGTATGGTTTTCCCTATTAAGAATCCTTACAACATAATTTCGTGTTTATTAAGAATTAGCATTGCTCTTTGCCCTTGTTTCACGTCCTGTTCATGTCCTGCTCTATAATCAGAACGAGTTTTTTGTTGCTATTTTATTGTTCTGGTGGTTAACTGCTCTGATGTTTCATTAGCTCTGTTTATTGTTGTTTAACTGAGTAGAATTTTTAAAAGTTTATTAATATGCTATTAAGGTGATATTATTACGAAGTATCTAGTTTAACATCTGTTATAACAGAGCAATGGGTTATAGAACGGCATGGGGTCAAGCTCGGTCTACCCTGTAGTACATGTCTAACAATACCCATAGAAAAGGTCTATGTGTCTATGTCCAGGATGTCCAGAGCCAGGCTTAAGCTATTGAGTGCTCTCATTCTTAAACATACTAGGCGATATTTCCAGCATAAACCGTGGCCAGATTCTCGAATTTATCAATTTAACTTTGTCTATACTAAGCGGTTTAGACTATGATAATGATGCAAAGAATTTTTGACTGCGTTATTGGACAATATAATTGTTTTCTATATAAACAATTTGTATCAATGAATTGATTAATTGTCTGCCTTGCTGCTAATTAAGTTTATTTGTCGTGTTTGTCTATTTTGTTCAACTTAAAGTAGTTATTAGCAGTTATTTAGTATTTATTTATTATTCATTATGTATTTATAGGTCAGTTGCTCGAATAGTTTAATCCATGTATACTGCAACTAAGGCAAGAGGGTTTGGGTTCAAATTTCACCAATAATCTTGAGTAAAAATTTGTTTAAAGAAATTTGTAGGAAATATTTGGTTGCTTTGTTTGAGAATTAGAGTTTTAAGTACTGCTTAAATTAGCACATATATGCTTACTATAACATTACATAGAATCTTTACTTTCTATGGTATTGCTAGAGACTAATGAATCTATGCTTGGCTTACGCATAGCCAGGGTAATCTAAACATATATACGGGTGATATTGCTGTTATATTTTCTTTTTGTATGAGATTCTTTTAGGATGTATTAAATTCGGACGATCCTAAAAAGCATTTTTAGGTTTTGATGAACCAGCACACATAATTGTGGATTACAGTTGTGTGATTACTTTTTTGTTGAACAACTTTTATTTATTATGAAGCTATTCTTGAATGGAACCCTCACGGCAGAAGAAGACGTGGCAGACTAAAGGTAACGTGGAGGCACATCATCTTTAACGAAACTGACAAGTATTTTAACAAACTACGACACTTAGTTTTAAGGCTCAGTTAGTCGATAAGTACCGTAAGAACTTAAACGAACTTAAGTCAAAACGAAATGCACAACCAACCATACAAATCCGGCGAACTTTGTTTAATTCGTTTCTCGCAAATACACAGATGTGGTTGGTTGTACACTTCGCTTTGGTTTAGGTTTGCTTAAGTTCGCTTTAGTTCGTTTTAGTTCTTACGGTATGTACTGACTAACTGAGCCTTTAAACAAACAGAACTGAACATTTTATATAAACTACCTATTTTCATGATGGAAAATAATATTCAATGACTGTTTTTAAAATTTATTTTAAAGCAACATGGGTTTACAATATTAATTTTGATTAATGGTAATAAATTGTATGTGTGTCCTTTTGAGTTTGTAATTACTGGAAGACACTACTAATACTTTTGTTTTAGTGTAATATTTATCATTATGTTACTATTCCAGACTCAATCATTAAGCCCAAAAGCTAAAATTAAAAATATTGCTTAATAAAAAAAGAGTATAGAAAAAATTGAAAAGAGAAACAAAACAGCATCCTGGCATCACTTTAAGCCTTTTTAGAAACAATAGCAACAGGATGTGAAAAATGACGGCAGTAAAACAATGCTAGCTTAAAATGAGAAACAAAAAAAACAAAAAACAAAAGGAATATATATTGAAAAAAGAATTACAGAATTATTGCAGAGAAAAAAATGCATTTATGTGCTCCCAACACATTTCTTGATGGCAGGATATGCAGCAAAAGCTCGATAAAAAGGACGAAAGAATGCAAAAGAGTACAAAAAAAAACAAACTAAAAAATCGAAAATTACAATCAACATTCACAAACGTCGTAAAGTTATTAACACAACAATATTGATTGACAGGATACAGTGTAAAAATATATAAAAAATACTATTTGTATTGAAACAAAATGCCATAGAAGGATGCATCATGCATGACTGACTGACTGACTGCATGCATTGTGACTGTACGGGTGTGGGAGTGTATATATGTGCGGCAGTAGTCAATGACAGTAATAATAATTAACAAACGTACTGTGAATATTGATAGATTACGCCTGTACAAGAGCGGTAGCTCAGCAGTACCAGAAGCACCAGTACCAGCAATAGCGGCAGTCGTAGTGGGAGTCTCGCTTGCAAGGATATCATTTCGAAGGGATTAAGGCGCAAACGATATATGAAAGCGTTGCAGTTGACAATTATGCAAAATCGATTACAATGCAATTGTGCAAAAATTAATTTTGCATTTTTAATATTCTATGAGCTGCTTTTAATTTTTCATTTTCATTTGTTTTATTTATGGAGTTTTGCGCATTTGCAAAAATTTATTAAATGCTCAAGTCATACTCGTAATTGTTGATCATCAAATGCGATGTATCTAAATAAATGAATTTCAAATTAATTAAAATGTATTAAAAAAAGAAGGAAAAAGAAATTCACTGACAAAAAGTAAAAACCTGAAATATTACAAAAAAACAAAAAAAAAAAAATTCATATAAATAATAAATATTCAATTTATATAAAATATATTTGTTAAATTGCATGATTTTCATATAATATACAATTCACGGTATTTTTGCTCATTAACAAATTTCTTTCTAAGCAATTAAAATAAGCTATAAAGTCTATATAAGCTGATAACAGCTAAAAAAATCTACTTATTCCAAAAATATCAATAAAACGTTTCAGTCAAAAAACTTGCTATATCATTAAAAAAAAATGAATGGGGGGTCTTCCATTAAAAATCACCAAAAATTTCACACACGCACCAGACTTTTTTTTTATTTTATTTTAATTTTTAAATTTATTTTTTGTTTATGTTTCATAACAAAATCAGGCGACATGCTCCCTGATATGTCCGCCGATATTTATTATCGCAGTTGCTGTTAGTAAATAAAAATATAAATTAAATACAATTTTGTATAGTTGGCGACGTGTTCTTTGCGGAATGGCGAAATAATATGGGCTGATTTCTTACAGATACAAAGCAACTGCAGATGGACAAACAACGCCGATATGTAGGCGGAAAATGCCGGTTTAGTTAATTAGATAGTATACATTAAGCAAATAATTATTATTATTCATTATAAATGCTCATTGTTTCATTTTGAATTAAAATCATTCATTATCATAAAATGATATTTTTATATATAATCAGTCTACTTATGTCTGTAAAGGCAAAAAAAAAATATATTTAATAGGTATTTCAATCAATTCTTATCAGTTTTAAAAAATTTACAAAGTGTCTGCAAAATTTAAAATGTGAAACGTCACAAACGAGCGAGTAGTAGTTCTCAACATTAAGATTGAAGAACGTACTCAATACACTTTAAAAATAAGTACAACAAAAAAATTTATATATATACGAATCTGGTTCTTATTGCCCTTTCCTTTTAATTTTCTCAAAATATAGTATTTATATAGATTTGACTATATATATATTTGGCTTGACATATATTTAGACACATGTGTAAAAATTTATAATAGACACAGTGTACTACAAGTCCTATCAAGCCTTATTTTATTGGCATAATATTACTAGGGATCAGATCACTGAACCAGATGACTTTTAAAATATATATTACAAAAATATAGTATTTATTTCCTATTGCCTTTTCTGTCTACTTTTTTTAAAGAATTATAAAGGTTAGTATTGATGTCTTTACTAGATCGCAAGTATTAGTAATATAAGAGTCACAACTAGTTTCACCAAGCTGGCATTAATAGTATACTAGGCATTCAGATCAACGGTGATAAGTACAGCAGCAGAAAAATTCGATCAATTTTTTTGTTTCAAATTTTAAATATACTCAACGTATATATTAATTTTATACTTATATCACTTATTTTTTTGAAACTAGTATCGTGAATTCGCTCAACAGTCGGTACTGCAGCCAAAAGAGTTTAGCAACACACGCATATATCATAACTAGGAAGTAAGCTACTAGACTTATCTCAGTCTAACCATGAGTAAAGAATTATATATTGCTTTAAACATTTTATAAAAAATTAAGGCAATTAGACAATACTCGAAACAGCTGTATGGTTAACTAAAAATTTAATTTATTAAAAATAATAAAAAAAAATTTTGTTGTTGCAATTTCACTACTGTTCGATAAAATCTTCTCTATGGAAACTAATAGTTTATATTAAGAATTTAGTTTCCTTCCGTCAACATTTCCTTCCGGACATTGAAAATAAATTTAATATAAAATATATATTATTTTTATATATAAAAAACACTCTATAATTTTTAATAAGATCTATTAAACTTTAATATTAAAAATGATAATATTATAAATGCAGTGGTCATAAAACTTCACTTCTTTGATAATATATTGCCTATATAAGTGAAATATCCTTGGTCATCTTTCTGGCAATATTATAATTCCATGGTTATAAAACTTACTTTAATTAACTGATCTAGGTCAATTTTCATTTTCTATCCATATAAAATCTTTTGAAGAGAGAAAAATAAGTGATATATTGCAGATGTTGTATTTAAAAAATATGGTAGGTAAAGTAATTCACTACATTCAACTAACGTTTTACCAACTAAGGAATTTCAACTCACACATTATCTCTTTAGAGTATACCACATTTTTTTGATCAATTCGAAACTTTTTATATTAGCGAATAATCCATTTTTTTCAGTTAATGACTATACACTTCATATTTACTTTGTTATAGTTCTGTAGAAATGCAAAAAAAAAGGTTTGTTTGATAACCCATTAAATGAATTTATATATAGACTTTTGAGTTGTTTTAAGCTATTTTATTTAATCATCTTTTTTGAATGGAAAGTGGAATTGCTTGAAGGAAACTCAATAAATCTGTTCTGTTGAAGTTGGATTAAATATATAAAAAGGTGTCTTTTTTTTAAAAATACTTCTATCACCTGCTAAATTGCTATGATCGAGACCATAATACATTCAGTTCACATTTTTGTAAACAACCTATTATTCTATTTGTCTATAGATAAAAATTGCTTAGATCATTGCCCTGATATCTGAAAATGAAGTCATAGTGTTAATAAGCAGCAATTTTTTTTTGTTAGAATATGTGAAACCTATATGACGGATTTATAAATTTTTAGAATTCAGACTTTCAATTAATCTGATCTGTCAGCGGTCTCAAGCTGTATTTGGCCTTCATTGCTTTCACTAGCTTTCAGGAATGTGTAGCAATTAACTAATAATTTATAATGAATTTAAAGGAAAGCTTAAATTTATAAATTCAAAAATATAAAATGTTACTATTGTTTATAGTCATCAATATAGCATTGTTAAATTTATTTGAGGATTGAAAATATGATTTAATAATTATAATTACATATATTTTTAAATTTGTTAGGAATACGTTTCAAATCTATGTAACGAAAAAGTTAAAATCCTATGTGAACAAACTTTTCTTCGTGACTACAAAATTCAAAATTAATTCGTTTTAAATACAAATCAGAAGGTATTTTCCAATACACCACACTTGGACATATATTTTTGGAGAAATATATGCGCAGCTGGAACCGCAACATTAATTGCAAAGTGAGAGATACATTTCAAGGCTAACTGCGATTGCAGAATTATCGCTGAAGAAGAAGAAGAAAAAACACAATGGTTGAAATGCCAACAACATGCCCCATTTGTAGGGATTTACTGAAAACTCCAATCAAAACCAAATGTGGTCATATTTTTTGCCATTGTTGTTTTTTACAAGTAAAGCGCTTTAACAAGGGACGCACCCTAAGATGTCCATTATGTCGTCAAGTACTTAAAGCTGCTAAAAAGGTAATTAAAAAAATAAATAAATAAATATGTATAATTTTAAATATATTATTTTCGTAGCCTCATTATAGGCGTGATGAGCCCAGATTTGACTTCATGTTCTGGAATCAGAGAGTTTGAATATGATGTCAATTGTGCTTTCTATGCTGATGTTCTTTGCTGGTTCGACTGATGAAATTCGTCGCTTGGTGGTGTTTTTGGGGACTTGTCTGTTGTAACTGATGAGTTAGCTGGTTTCCCTATTATTTAGGTTCAAATGTTTTAAATGTTTATTTTTTAAATCAGTTAACTATATAAATATAATAAATGCGTATCTTTACATACACAATAGCTAAGTGGTTTCTTTCAAAAAACATTGCTTGAATTTTTCATCTACATAAAACTAGGCTAAGTCACCGGGGTTACTGTCAACGGTGCTTATGTTTAATCGTTCAAAACTGATATTTAGGATTATAATTTGTTAAATTTGTTAAAGACGTTTCTATTCTCATATATCTTACTACCATACTCTTGAATATAAAATTCTAGAAATAAACTTCTTCAATGAAACCAAGACACGCGCTTGATAAATGGGATTATTTTTGTGATATGTAAATTTGAGATGTTTGACGACCTACGTAGTTTTGTATGAAATATTTAAGCATTTGTGTAGAAAGCATTCAGCTGTTTGTCATTAAATTTGTTTATTTTAAAATTTGTTTATTTTTTAAGCCAGTTTTGAATTGATGATTCAACAAAGCGTGAATAGCAGCTTTGGTTTATTTTTTAAGCCAGTTTTGAATTCGTAATTGGACGGATCGAGAACAGCAGTTTTATTATTTTGATATTAGATGTATTTTTTTAGAATTAATTTGTTTGTATTTGAGTTTTGAGTTAATTTTTTGGCAGAGCGACTAAATACCCTTATTAATTTGACCTCAAATTATTTTAATTAGAAAATGTTAGTAGCACCCTTACTTTTTCGATTTTGGAAGAATTTTGTTTAGTATAAGTCTATTTTTAAAACTTCCTTTGAAAGCATTATAATTAACTACAATGGGGATATTAGGCAATATCAATTCTATTTTTTATAAGCCACTTGTAACAACTCGCACTCAATCACTACAATGGACACTACAATGGATGATCGTTTGAACACTAATTATGTGGGAGATTACCTATTGGGAAGAAAAACTTCTTCTATATGTGAGTGGTACTCTAATATTCTCAACGATTATTAGTTAAGTTAAGGCATACAATACGACTTACAAGTCATTTCTCATTTTGGTTAGTGATGAATTCGTACTGTTGACGAGGCTACTTCTTAGATGAGGTAATTCCTTTACCTGTTCTAAGTAAAGAAATGCAGATAAAAGACAAGGTAAATTGTGGGTGATTACTGAACTCTTTGTAGAAGTTTACGAGTATTAGAAGCAACTATTATGTTGTTGGAATTATTAGAGGTAAGAGACATCATTATAATTTTGATATTAACTCTCCTATGTTGTTCTAGGAATGCTGGAGTATATTTTTAAACAATACAATTGCCTGTTGACAAGCCAAAGAATTCATGCCATATCGATCAAAAGCCACAACAAGGGAGCTATTTATGTTGAACAGAAGTCACATTCGACTTGTCACAAAGTTTCTTACTGGGCATTGCGGAGTTAAAAAGCATCTATCGAACCTAGATATTACTAGAGACGATAGCTGCAGACTTTGTTGCGAAGAAGAGTAAACAGCAAAACACACTCTTTGTCACTGTGATAATCTTGCCAGACTCATACTTCGGTACTTATACACTGCCTATCCACTTATAACGGAATTAGACAACATTTCTCCAAAGTACATTATGACTTTCTTAACTGTTACTCGTCTATGGAACTAAAGTGGGTATGTCACAATAATCATCAAAGGATGCAGTGACGTGGTGACAAGTTCTTAACCTATTTTAAAATCCAATCTAATCTAATATATTCAAATAAATGCTCAATTATCTTCTGGTAAGTAATAACCAAGTAAAATCTTTTACATACTATCACTTTTGTAAGTATTATCTTCTTTTAGATTTTATATTCGTTATAGAGATTATAACAGTTTTCAGTAAAAATTCGCTTTATAGTGCGTTTATTGTACCTAACTTTTGGTTAAAGAATTTAAAAAATAATCATAAAATGAATATGAATCAAATATTATATTTTTATTAAATATTTTTCGCAGTGGAAGAAACCCCATGTATGAACGGTATGACAAATTCTTATCGGTTCGCTACTTGCAGCAGTTTAAACGAGATTTTAATTAATAAAGCAACAAAGTAGCAATAAATGTTTTTGTTTACAAATATTATCAAAATTAAGAAAGTAATAGTTTATTGAACTCATGGTCAGCAAACTGACATTGAAAAATTTTAAAAGCGAAATGAATTCTTTCGCCAGTTGAATAATCAAGTCGTCAGGCGAAGGTATCGAAGTCGGTAGCAAAATATCAGCTGACGGAAACTAGAAAGAATCACATAGTTGAAATGAAAGCGACTAAGAAAAATGATTTCATTTCTCTGAGGACCAGTGAATGGAACGCTACATCACATCTCACATTTTGCAATTTCATTTTGTTCAACATTTCAATTGAAAAATAATGATTAGTACTACACAGAGAAGTGGACGGCAATTGGTGGCTACAACGAAGGCATTAAAATGCTTCATGCGTAGCATAAGTGTCAGTGTTCAGGAGCAGCAGGATCAATCAGTGCAAATGGTCTTAGTTAAGGAACATGAGAAGCAACAGCAAACAATGAAATTTCCAGGCATTTGGTTACGTGACAATTGTTTATGTGATGAATGCTTCCATAAGGATTCACTAAGTCGTAAACCATTACGTTGGAATAACTTTGACATGGCAGTTAAGGTGCAACATATTGTGGTAGGTGTTTATTTAATCAAAATAAATAAAATAATTTGATAATAACAGTCAACAATTAGAAATAATATGAAATAATATGAATTAATGAAAATTTATAATTTATTAAGAACAAATAAAAATATGAGAAGTGTGAAAAATAATAATGTTTTTGATGCAGTGATAACCAATTATTTATAAAATAATATAAGAAATTTAATCAAAAAAAATAATCATCAAATAAAATAATTAGCTAAACATTATAATAAAAAAGAAGTTTTAATGTAAAAATAATAAAATAACTATCTAAATAAAAAATAAGAAATTTATATATAAAATTGATTAATTAAGTTTTTGATTTTCGTTGGGCTTATGTCGTTTATTTAACACATAAAAATTATAAAAAAATTAAACTTATTAATTTGTGTTAAATATTTTTAATTATATTTTAATTTTTTTATAAAATTTTAACAACACAGATATTTCTAACCGCCTTAAGTGTGCGACGACATAAGCCCGGTAAAAATCAAAAAATTATTATAAATTGTGTTCGTACTAACAATTAAATATTTAATAATTAGTAATTAATTAAGTTAAATAAATTATCAATAAAATAATCATCTAATAAAATAATTAGCTAAATATTATAATAAAAAATTAATTTTAATAAGAAAAACTATATACAAATAAATTTTTACTCAAGACAGAAAATACATTGTATTTATTATTAAAATCCATTATTCTTTTAAAATAGACTGATGATTCTAAAAATGCTGTAAAAATAAATTGGTCTGATAAGCATACATCGACTTTTGACTTGAATTGGTTGAAGGAAAGAGACTTTTCTACTGAAAATCGTCAAAAATACATAAGTGAATGGTATCGTCCAGAGTCTAAGCATTGGAGTAAACCAGAGTTTCAAAAAATTTTGAAAAAATTTGAATATAAAGATGTAATGGAAAAGGATGAATGTAAGTATAATAAAAAACAAATAAAAATAAAATTTTATAATTAATGTTAATATAAAAGAGAATATAAAAAAAAATACATATATATTTCACAAATTTTTTAGCACTACTTCAACTGTTGGAGACCTTAGCAGTTTATGGAGTTTGCTTATTGAAAAACTCACCTCTCGACATTGGAGTAGTTAAGACATTAGCAGATCGTGTTGGTTTTATACGCAAAACAACTTATGGGTATGTAAAATTATTAATTAACCTTTTTTAGCCAAAAATGTTTTTTGGTAAAAATATATTGTATAGCAAGCAACTGCTAGGCTGGAGTTTTTGATACGCCCGAATATACTGGCGATGCAGTAAGGGCATGGGTTTATAACCCATGGGCTCATGAAGGTGACGAAGCTCCAATGTATCAATTGGTTGACTGGTGGTCTGGATGGCAACACAAATGAAAACAATTTATATGTTTAATTCATAAATCTTTATTTTGAGCGAGAATTGAATTTAATTAAACAATCAAACAATATTTCATTTAAATTTGTTAAAAAAAATTAAAATCCAATTAAATGTATATTTAGTCTGCATGATTGTCTAAATTTACTCATATAATTTTTTTACATATACATTATCAAAATTTTTTATTTTAAAAATTTATATTAAGATATATAAAAAAATAATGTACTATTCAAATTTTATTTTTCTTCCTTTTGTAGTGAAGAGTTCAGTGTAAAGTCTCGTCCCGGTGCAAAAAATTATTCCTATCTAGCTGAGCCCTTACCGCTTCATACAGATTTGCCATATTATGAATACAAACCAAGTGTCACAATTTTGCACACCCTAGAACAATCACAATCCACAGGCGGTTGGAACACACTAACCGATGCCTTTAATATAGCCGATCAATTGCGTGTCAAGCATCCCAAGCATTTTAAAATCCTTACTGAAACGCCAGTGGATTGGTGTGATATTGGCGTTGATGGAGGCGTTGAGTTTCATAACATTTGGCGTGCACCTGTCATCAAGTGAGTATGCTTTCAACATTAACTCGTTGCTCTGATTGACAACTTCATTGCTGAAGGTTGTTAACACAAAAAATTGACACCGATTTCATTGATTGCATTATTTACTTCCTTTGTGCCCGACTTAGCATTAAACTTATATTTTCTTTTACACCTCATTTCGTAGCCTGGATGCCGATGGCAAGTATGCACGCATCAATCACAGCGTTCCTCAGCGTGACAATCATTTCAGTGTTGATATAGACAAGGTGGCGCCTTGGTATGCCGCCTATGCTATGTTTGTACGTATGGCACACGAGCAGGCGGTATCGTTTAAAACAGCACCCGGAGATGTCTTAACGTTCAACAATCTACGTATGTTGCATGGACGTACTGGTTACGATGATACTGAAAAGAATGTACGTCACATAGTTGGCGGATTTGTCGATTGGGATATAATATACTCAAGGATGCGTGTGCTTAGAAAAATGTTAAA